TATAATTAGTAGAAATAGAATATTTGAGAAAGAACTTTGCTTTAATGTGAGATGAAAGGCAATGCATGATCTTAATAGTCCCAGCTTTTGTGCCTTTTCACAGAGGAGCAACACAAGGCAAAGTCTTCTACCTGCCAATCAGGCATAGCCAGGCTTCTGCTCTCTCATGCCCTTTTTCTACAACCATGTGCTTCCTTTTCTTATGCCTTCCTTATTCTCCCTTTCAGTGGTGGTTGTCCTTAGATTCCTTCTATCTTCTTCTTCTAATATATTTTCTGCTTTGTAATCAAAACTGCTGTTAGGGCTATAAGATCTCCACCAAATCCTCAGGCAAAGTAAATTCCCATGGCATACGGTCATCTGTTGTAACACATTACACAGTAGTTAAAATGTTGTATATCACCCCTTGAAATAGGAATCTCATTCAAGACTAAGGATTGAGGCTAGTATCAAGGAAACATGAAATATTTACCTTTTGACATTTAACAAACAGGTAATTCTTTATATTATGAAAGAATGTGCTCTTTATCATCCAGTACTATTAGCACTTCTAATTCATTTAGAATTCTGATTTAACATATGCAAGGATTTTTATTATATGGAGCATAATGCTCTTCATAAAAAATTTGGAAAGTTTAATAGTGCATTAAGATAATTTTTATTTGTTTGATTTCCTTTTATTTTTTTTCAGTGTTCCAAAATTCGTTGTTTATGCACCACACCCAGTACTCCATGCCCTCCATAATACCCATCACCAGGCTCATCCAACCGCTCACTGCCCCCCTCCAAAACCCTCAGTTTGTATTAAGGTAATTTAAAGCTAAAGCTCTAAAATTAAAACAAATTGGGAAAAAGCCAAAAAAATGTGGATATTTGCATTTATCAATATGCAGTTCCACATTTTATTTAGAAGAGGATTGGCTCAATAAACACTATAACTTATACTCTTAAGTTACATATTTTACATAACGTATATGGGCATCCCTCAGAAATATGGCAGGTTCCATTCCAGACTGCCACGATAAAGCAAATATTTTGATAAAGTGAGTTAAATAAATTTTTCAGTTTGCCAGTGCATATAAAATTATTTTATATTATACTGTAGTCTACTAATTGTGCATTAACATGTTTAACAGAATAATGTGCATACCTTAATTAAAAATACTTTATTGCTCTAATATGCTCAGCATCATCTGAGCTTACCATGAAATGTAATCTTTTTGCTAGTGAAGGATCATGCCTCAAAGTTGATGACTGCTGACTGGTCATGATGGTGGTTACTGAAGACTGGGTTGGCACGTTCTTAAAATAAGACAACAGAGAAGTCTTTTGCATCCATTGACTCTTCCTTTTACAAGTGACTTCTCTGTGGTGTAGAGGACTATTTTTTAGCATTTTACCCAGTGTAAATCTTCTTTCAAAATTGAAGTCAGTCCTCACAAAGCCTGCTGCTGCTTTATCAACTAAATTATATAGTATTCTAAATCCTTTGTTGTCATTGCAACAATCTTCACAGTCTCTTCACCAGGAACAGATTTTATCTCAAGAAACCACTTTCTTTGCTCAGCCATAAGAAACAACCCCTCATCCGTTCACGTTTGATCATGAGATTGTAGCAAGTCAGTCCCATCTTTAGGCTCTACTTCTCGTTCTCATTCCCTTGCTGTTTCCACAACTGTAGCTCCTCCCTCCATTGAACTCATGAACCCCTCAAACCCATGAGGGTTAAATCAACTTCTTCCAAGCTCCTGTTCATATTGATATTGTGACTTCTTCCCATGAATCATGAATGTTCTTAATGGCATTTAGAATGGTGAATCCTTTCTGGGTTTTCAGTTTATTTTGCCCAGATCCATCAGGAGAATCACTGTCTATAACACCTAGCCTTATGAAATGTATTTCTTAAATAATATGACTTGGAAGTCAAATTACTCATTTAATCATGGGCTGAAGAATGGATGTTGTGTTAACAGGCATGAAAACAACTTTAATCTGGTTGTACATCTCCATCAAAGCATTTGAATGACCAAGTGTATTGGCAATGAGCAGTAATATTTTGAAAATAATCTTTTTGTGAGCAGTGGTTCTCAACAATGGACTTAAAATAGTCACTAAATCATGTTGTACATATATATGCCATCTCGAGGCTTTGTTGCTCCATTTATAGAGTATATGCAGAATAGATTTAACATAATTCTTTAGGGCTCTAGGATTTTTGGAATTGATAAATGAGCATTGGCTTCAACTTAAAGTCACCAGCTGCATTAGCCCCTAACAAGAGAGTCAGTCTCCCTTGAAGCTTTGAAGCCAGACTTCCCTCTAGATATGAAAATCCTAAATAGTGTCTTTTTCCAAAAGAAGGCTATTTCATCTACATTGAAAAATCTGTTGCTGAGTGTAGCCACCCTCATGAGTTATCATTGTTAGGTCTTCCAGATAACGTGGTACAGCTTCTATATAAGCACTTGCTGCTTTGCCTTGCACTTTTATGTTTTGGAAATGGCTTTTTATTTAAACCTCATGACCCACCCTTGCTAGCTTCCGGCTTTTCTTGTGCAGCTTCCTCACCTCTATTGGCATCCAGAGAATTGAAGAAAGTTAGGGCCTTTCTCTGGATTAGGCTTTGGCTTAAGGGGATGTTGTGGCTGCTCTGACTTTTTTATCTGGACCACTAAGACTTTCTCCATATCAACAGTAAGGCTGTTTTGCTTTCTTAACCTTCATCTGTTTACTGGAATAGCACTTTTAATTTCCTTCAAGAATTGTTTCTTTGCATTCACATCTTGGCTAACTATTTGGCCCAAGAAGATGGGCCTTCCTTACCAAGCTTAGTCATTTCTAGCTTTTGATTTAAAGTGAAACATGCAACTCTTCCTTTTATTTGAATATTTAGTGACCATTACTGGGTTTTTCCTTTGTTTAAGTTTTTTTATTTAAGTTCCTATTAACATAGAGTGTAATACTAGTTTCAGGTGTACAATAAATATAGTAATTTAACAATTCCGTATAGTACCTGATGCTCATCCCCGCAAGTCATTGCGGGGTTTTTGATTGGCATAATTTCAGTATTGTTGTGTCTCAGGTAAAAGACAGGATGGAAAAGGAGAGAGAGGGCGAAGGGCCATGGTGTGGAACAGTCAAAACACACACAAATGTCAGTAAAGCCATCACCTTACATAAGTGTGGTTCATGGTGCCCCCTCGCCAAAATTATTAGTAACATCAAAGATCACTGATCACAAATCACCGTGAAAAATATAATCAAAAAATCTTGAAATGTTGTGAAAATTACTAAAATGTGACAGAGAGATACAAAATGAACAAATGCCATTGGAAAAATGGCACTGATAGACTTGCTTGACTCAAGGTTGCTACAAATCTTCAATTTGTCAATAATGTAGTACCTGTAAAGCACAATACAATGAGATATGCCTGTATTTTATATTACTTGACAGATAATTTTTAATTCTTCATGATGTTGCTTTTATTTTGGTATATTTATTCAGCATGATTTCTGTTCTTGTATTGTTTAATTGACATGAACAATAGAAGAAATCTGATGAAATCTAAAGAGAAAAAACTAAACTAAAAAACTTATTGCCTTGTAGAAAATTATATTTTGTAAAAATTAAAGTTTTTATTCTTCAGATAATAAGTTACTCTAAAAATTGTATGCCTAGTACATATCCTTTACTTTTTTTTTTTTTTTTTTTGTCAGAGAGAGTAAGCACAGGCAGACAGAGTGGCAGGGAGAGGCAGAGGGAGAAGCAGGCTTCCTGCTGAGCAAGGAGCCTGATGTGGGACTCTATCCCAGGACGCTGGGATCATGACCTGAGCTGAAGGCAGCCGCTTAACCAACTGAACCACCCAGGCGTCCCCCTTTTTTTTCTTTTTAACTATATGATCATTTCAAAATTCATTTTTTTAAATATTTTTATTTATTCATTTGACAGACAGAGATCACAAGTAGGCAGAGAGAGAGAGAAAGGGAAGCAGACTCCCCACTGAGCAGAGAGCCCGATGCGGGGCTCGATGCAGGGCTCGATCCCAGGACCCTGGGTTCATGACCTGAGCCGAAGGCAGAGGCTTAACCCACTGAGCCACCCAGGCGCCCCATATCCTCTACTTTTCTTAACTGTACTTCTTGGTAGAATCTAGCAGAAAATAATGTATTTGCTTTTTGAAAGAATTAACTTAAAAACTAAATTTATATATCACCAAGGAATACTACCATCTCTTTTCTAAAACTGACTTCTATGTGTATCAATATGTTATATAATATTATATAACAAAATAGTACAGTATAGTGTCTTCTTTTTTTAGAGATCAAATTTATTTTGAGAACACATTGAAATATAACTAAAATAAATAACCAGCAAAGTTCTAAGTAAAAATATTAAATAGCTATATCTATATAATTCTCAATAAAAGTATATTTTCTTCCCATAGGTTCTTTCAAATGCATTTACAGTTTATTAAAACATATACCCCGAGCCCTGATATCCCATATCTTTAGATAAAGGTACAGAAATGCCTTGTGATACATTTGGTCTCTGTCTACCCTAAAGAACAGGTGACATGTATTCCAACAGTAGCTGGGATGTGCATAGAATTTTAAGTTATAGATACCTGGGAGTAGAGATGAGCGTCTTCAGAGTCTCCTTGGAAAAACAAAACAAAACAAAACAAAAAAAAACAGAAAAAAACTACTGTTAGAATTGGGTAAATGTTACTGAAAATAACATATATCTTAGAAAATTCAGAGTAAAACAGCACTAAAAAGCAGCACTGATAATGTTATGTGAGGGACTTTGTAAGATTTTAATCAAGTCTAATCTAATTTTAGTTACACAGCAATAATTCTTTGAACACTCCCTACCCATTATTCATAAATGTGTTGTATCTTTTGATTTTAAAAAAAATCATTGGTTTTAGTTTTGAATGCTTCTTTTCTTTCTTTTCTTTCTTTCTTTCTTTCTTTTTTTTTTTTTTTTTTTCCAGATGACACGAGAACAATATATACTAGCAACACAGCAGAACAACCTGCCAAGGGCTGAGAATGCACAACTTTACCCAGTGGGGATTTATGGATGGCGGAAGAGGTGCTTATACTTCTTTGTCCTTCTGCTGCTGGTTACCATGATAGTTAACTTAGCCATGACAATATGGATATTGAAAGTGATGAATTTCACTGTGGTAAGTACCACCATGACTTCATATCTACTGCTTTTGGTTCAACGATGATACAGCGCTGTTATTTTAATTTTTTAATTGAAAGTTACTTATCTTAAGCTTTACAAGGATGTGTCTTGAAATTCCAAAGAATGTCATATATTATTTCAAGACTGTATTCAATATGTATTCATGACACACATATGATATTACTACCTGTCCTTTAGGTGTGGGAAATTGAGATCATGAGATAGTATAGGATACTGATTCATTAGCAAGTTAGAAGACTTTTAACCTATAAGTATGAACTGTTGCTTGCTAAGCCTGGTAATCTAGAAAATGAGTCTATATTTTTCGAGATGATATTTTATGTTAATATTAATATTAGATATCACAAGTACCTTTAAAATACTTTACATAGAGTATTTACTTCTCTCTATATGCTTTCTATGTAACATACTGCATGACCAAATCTAAACCCTGGAATTTTTCGTGGGCCACATAGACCAATGTCTATAATTGTCACCAGATGGTGATTTCATTCTTTTGGAGCAGACATGGTAAATATATGATACACCTGAAAATAAGTCACTCTTTCATGAAAAGTAATAATTAATAACAAAATAATTATATATAGCTCATTGATGAATACTGCTTTAATTTATTGAATGTGTACAATAAACCTATGAGTCTGACTTATCTGGGAAACATTAGCTGCTTCAGCCAAGTTTAGTTTAGCTCACTTTGTATTTTTTGGCTAAATTCTTAAATTTCTCTCCTCCACCTTTAAAGCTTTCTGCCTTTGCTTAAACGCCTCAGATATCTTCACATTCAAGCAGGTGTCTTACACTTGCTGACCAGACTGCCGTTACTCTATAGAACTCTGCATCCTTAGGGGCAAGTGTAAAGCTGGCTGTTTAACTTCACTGATCTTTGTATGTTGGGCTGCTTTTTTTTTCTTTTTTTAAACTCTGCTGTGTATTGATTTAGCAAGGGTAGTTTCTTTCTGAGTTCACTAACATGTAATTCTACCTTGAAACATAATCTCGGAAAGGAAAATGAGCCCAGCATCTGTCCATTGTGTAGGGCACTGTGGTTGTATGCAGAAGGACCCCGGGAGAGCAGGTGGCCTAACCTTCCTGAGAGGAAAAACTATAACTGTGCAAATCATGATAGAAGAGCATATGCTCATGGAGAAAAATGAGCTGAGCAAGGGCTCCATTTCTCTGATACAGTGCAAATGTTGAAGGGTATTCATCAAAGAAGAAATGAAAGGCAAAGAAAAGTTGAGCAGAACTCAGTATGTTCCAGGATTAGAGAAAATAGCTATAGCCTAGTGATGGATATGTGTTCAGGGTCAGTGATCAAGGTCTGTGAGCCTGTGTGGGGGTGGCTGGAGGTGGAGTTGGGTGCTACTAGGCAAATTATGGCTTTAAGCCATGCTCTGGTAATGCATCTGAACCATTCTTTATCCTGAGTTGGCTCAGTGCTTCCCCACCACCCTGAGACTATTTTGACACGGATGACACTAATTCCACTCCTAGTCTTTTAGTTCTAAGCTCTGCTCCTACCTTCTCTTACTGATGTCTGGGCTTCATTAATGATTCATTTACCATATATCAGGGGCTGAAGATTCTTTTATATGGTTTTGACTATCAGCCATATTAGCAGTTGCTGACAGCAACTTTTTCAACCTCATTTTTCTCAACAAAACAAACAAAAATCACTCCAAATCTCCAAGATTTGAAATTTCAAGCATTTGATTACCTCTACCAAAGAGCTTCTTTCTAAAGCTCATGGAAGTTGTGATCAGCTGTCTCACTTCAGGATCCTTGATTCTATCCAGTGACCAGGCCATGGAAATGTTCAGATTCAAGCCCTGTAAGTTTCTCAAGCATATTTAAATTAATTAAGAAGATGAACTTAAATGCATAATTACATGGCTGCATGCATCAGACTCCCAGTACCTTGCTTCATGCTGAGGTCAAGGCAGGATAAGCCATTCAAGGGAAATAATTGAAACAATCACCTTTGTCCTCAGGATCCATGCAGGCCTCAGGGTTTCTGTCACCTATGGAGCTATCTAATTTGAACCTCAGCTGGCCAAAATGTAAATGTCAACATATTCCTGGGGATAATAAAAAGGAGTTTATTTCCATGGGAGTTTTTGGTGTTTATTTATTTCTTTAATTTCGAACATACCTTTCTTTCTGTAAATCACATTGTTACTTTTTAATAATCAAAAAATGGAAGGTTATTCTTTAGCCATGTAAGCTATTTGTATGTAAATGAAATAAATGGAAAGAGGAAGTAATTACTGTGTCAGGATTATCTTTGAAACGTCATGAACTCTCCGTTTCAATGCAGTAATTCATAATTATTCAGAGAAATTCTGAATTGCTTAAGTAGTTACTGAGTTTATCAGCTCTGAATACTACACACCAGATTAAGTTGTATGAATTTGAAAAGTGTAAAATAATTTGTAATCCTCTTACATGAGAGCAGTAGCAAAATCAGTTTTATGTTTTCACTGGTGCATTATGATTGCATCTATCTCTAGAGTGAATACCAGAAAGCATTCGCCATACTATCATAAGAAGTAGTAAATGATATATAAATTGTTTGGGGAGTATTACTGATTTATACAAAATGTATTTCTGTTTCATTAGAACGGTTTCTATCCAGTCCTTAGAAATATGTGGCTGTTAATATCTTTTATTTCAGCAAACTGGGAACGTTATTGTTATCAAAATATTGTGCTTTTTAGCACAGCAAGGATAACTGCCAACCTGTTTTATGATGCTTCTTGAAGTCTATCATTATGACTAGTATTATACATGATCTGTGTGGTTGATATGACCTTATTCTGCTTTTTATTTTGTGAAAATAAAAATCACACAGCTATTGAGATACCCAGGTGCAGAGAATCAAGAAAAAGGAAATTAGTTTATACTACAGGGTAAAAGGCTTAGAACAGATATACACCACAATTTCCTGTTTATGAGAGTTGATAAATGTAGGAAAGAGCTGAAGAAAGAGATTGTGAAACTTCATTCTCTTAGGATCAGTATAACCCAGTTACGTGTTTTTGTTGGTGGTGTTGATGGTTGTTGGTTGGCATAATAGCTGTGTGATTCAATATAAATTGCTAAGTCTAGCAGATCTGTCGAATCTAGGCATTCTGCTATGGTGATATTTCTTTCTTGGGTCAAGTTCTGATCCTAAGTTCTATATTTGAAAGTTGAAAATTACTATAATAATAAAGTATTCATTTTAATCACAAGAGTGCCAAGTAAATATTGGTAGCATCAACTGCAAGTTCATTTGATTAGCTATGTTAACTAGCCAGCAAAAGAATGATGAAAAATAAATGCCATTTATTAAGCAAAGAGCAAGAGGAAAGTCATGAATGTTGAGACTGAGAAGTCATAAATATCCAGATATGGGTATTAATTGAAACAATCAACCAATTGGACAAATTGGAAAACAAAATTCTTAGAGACTTGTATGATTGATGGGATGAATGTTGGCTGAAAGGAGATCTCACAGGAAGTGGATCATGATAGTGTTTTAGGAATAAAAAGAAAATGGGAAATTTTTAGTTTAGCCATCCACATTGTATTAGAAGTCACTCTATGATATTCTCTCCATTTGGTCACTTAGCATTCGCTGAAATCCTCCTTTAGATAAGCAAACCATCCCACTAAATCAATTGTATTTCTCTTTAACATCTTGCTATTTTGTTGCAGTCTCTCTGTATATAACCACAATCAGGGGATGCGTTCTTTCAAACTGACATGAATTTATTATTTTATCAAGACTGCGGTTTGTTCTAATACACACATACACACATATATATAAACATACATACACAAATATATGTGTGCATATATACATATACAAATATGCATATTATATACACATACATACACTTACACACATTTTCACATCAAAGAAATGTATTCTATATAGATAAGTAGTCTATATCTCCATTACTCTTATGTAGCCACTTTGCTTCTTTAGCTGCCATTTGCCTTTCTTCGTTTCAGATACTGTCTATATCACATTGTTATCATCGTATGTTTACGAGACTATCAGCCTTCTTAAAATATCTTTCCATTTATTGCTATTGACCAGAGAGCCATTGATATCTTTTATCATATTTTCTTTTATTTTAGCGTACCTTTTTAAAGCTAAGAAAGAGTACATGTATCACAGTGTTCAGTTTTCTGTTTTCTAATGTTTTTAATGCTACAAATTTTAAAAGATAATTTTGGGGGAATATGAAATAATATAAATTTGCTAAGTCTTCCATCTTGTGCTCTAATACTTTGGTAAATGAAGTATCCCATATTCCCTTCTCACTCGTGTGATTATTTTTTCTTTATCTTTATCATTAACCCAGTGGCATATTATCCATAGCCATTATCAGTTTACCTAAGATGGCTAAATTGCATTTGCAGCATGCTGTTACTTGTCCGTGTGCCCATCACCAAACTTGTTGCTCCAGTTTTCTTCATTTCACTCTTTAATGGGACCATTAGGTCAGAATAAACTTTTCCATCTCCATATATTTAGCCAGTTCTTATATTTATCAAAGTTGTGTTCCCATACCGAATGCATTATATTTGTTTTTCAAATTTATGGACATATAGAGGTTATATAGGAAGCTTAAATATGAGATAACCGTGTTTTATTGATGTCTCATTAATTTTTTCTTCTCTTCTTAGCATGTTCATCACAGATTGTTTCTCTTTATATGATTTCGTTTATTGTTTGGTTTTCTTCCCCACAGATAGAATATAAACTCTACAGGGCTCAGAGCTTTTCACTCTTTTCCATTGCTATATCGCCAAGGCAGAGGACAGTACCTAACAGATAATTAGCTCTTAATATGTATTTTTGAAATAAATATCCATCTTTAATATATCTGCATTGAAATCTAGTTAAACTCTTCATTTCACTAGGATTTGTGCCTTTCCAAAGGCTGGCCTTTAGCTGGGAAGAATTGATCAAAAGAGTAC